TATTACCATTATTTTCATAATAGTGTTTATTAGAACAATAAAAAATCTTTTTTATCAAAAATTTTAAATCTAATAAATACAAAGTGTTCTTTCTCTAATAATTACGCTTTAACACTTGCAATAGGTAAGTTTATTCTGGTTTCTTTGAGTTTTGGATTAAATTATTACGGTATGTATTGTTTGAAACTTTTTTCAACTAAAGTTTGTGATTTTACTAACATGTACGTGCTTTTTGTAGATTTTCATGGTATAATTTTAGCATTCTGATTAAATTAATTGGCTTTGGTTGGTATGTTGAAAATAAAATTGTTTGAATACTCGTATTTACAAAATTTCAATGGAAATTTGTGAAATACTATTTTCACTTTAATAATTAATAATGGTATTTTTTTTAATACAAGGTTATTTTGTAAGGAGAGAATAAATAATAATATAATAGATAATTCTTTACCCAGTTGTCAAATATTTGATAAACATTTCTAATATTTGGTTTAGTTTAATTTTTTGTCATAAAATATTCCAAGAAAAATGCTCATACTTCTTTAATAAAAAAATTAATTTAAAAATCTCGAAAAATTTCTATAAATGTTACGCGCGTATTAGCGTATAAGTATTATAAAAAAATTTATGAAAATTTCTAAGATAAAAATGTTACGCGCGTATTAATGTATATATTATAAAAAAAAATTTAATGCTGATAAAAATGTTACGCGCGTATTAATGTATATATTATAAAAAAATTTATGAAAATTTTTCTAAGATGAATGTTATGGGTATACAGTACATCGTGAAAAATTTTCTAAGATAAATGTTATGCAAAAATAAGTCTTGTCCAATGGATTTCGGTGGCTGATTAAACCAATCATATTTAAGGAGGGTCTAGGATAAGAAGCCTGAACCCCGGAGGTCTAGAATAAGAAACCTGAGAAAAATATTTTTCACCACTAAAAATTTTCTCTGTCCCCAGAATACTTATGAAAAAATGAAAACGGTGAGGTGTGACGCGGGTGACATTTTATGCAGGTCACGTGGGGGTGAAAAATCTTGGGGATTATTATTCAAGTCATGTGACACATATTAATTACGACAACTTTATGGCAAATACATCACAACCTTTACAACCAGTTACGAGACCAACACTAACGATAATGATTTTTATGTGGTAAAGCCATAAAGGTGATGGTTATATGACCTTAAAGTTTTGATAAGGAGAAACTTTCAACTTTTGGAGACGGCGAAGTAAAGATGATATTCACATGAGCGACCATGAGAAAGTTGTGATGATTGATTAAATAGATAGTGGAACGGTAGCAGATGTTGTGCACTCCACCTTGCAGATCTTTTTAGATAAGAACGGAAAGATAATTTAATATTCTGAAAAAATTCTATTGTTAAATAGGAAGATTTTGATTTGTAACTGCGGAACTTTTTCTGGATGTATTGGTAATACTTATAGTCTTTAAAATTATAAAACAAAAACATTGGAAATTTTATATTAGTACGTAACATATGTAGTGCTTATTATTTATCTTTTTACGTCTACATCGTTGAAAAGTGTAGCATTTGCATAGCTTGATGATCTTAAATAAAGGGAGAAATTAAAAAACATTAAACTATCAAAGCTAAAGATGGTCATCGGTCCTACCGGTGTTCCAGGACTGCTGGTCTTAAGACTGGACCGCGGTTTTCGGTCCTGCTGTTAATTCAGGCCGAACCTATAGTGCCGGCCAGAATTACAAGCAAGTGTAACACAAAAAATTTGTGTTACAATGCCAGAACCAGTAAAAAATTTTTGCCTGGTGGCTAAACTATTTATCCTGGATCACGTGATAACATTATTTAGTAATTCCGGCCGACACTATGTATCTGGCCAGAATTAGCCCAGGACCGAAAGACCGCGGTCTTATGCGAGACGGACCGGTCCATCTTTTTGGGGTGTAGGACCGGTAAGACCGTGGTCTTCTAGGACCGGTGACCATCCTTAATCGAAGCAGTAATTCTTATAATGACAATCTCTTTTTTTCTTTCTTTTGTACACATTCATTGATTTGCATAAATTTAGGTAGTACAGTACAATGTTGCTTTATGTACTGTAACATTCACTTTGGTTACATATAATATGTATAACTACAGATTTGAAACACTGGTTTCAACCTTTCTTTCTTTCTTTCTTTCTTTCTTTCTTTTATTTAAAAAATTAATAATATATTTATAAAAAAAATTTAAAGTCTTATAACATATTTCATTATGTCATATGGCGATAATAAATTAATTAATAATGCACTTAACAGATCATATGCATTAATGGATTCAAATGTTTGTAGTAGTGCACACAAAACTTATGAATTTAGAAAACAAACAATTCTTAATGATGAATCACTTACAGAAAATGAAAAATCTGAAGTAATAAGAAAACTAACTGTAAATTATGATTACAACAAACTTCTTTTTGATGAAGGAACAAAAAGAATTTGTGAAAATTGTAACCAGGAATGTTTAGCTACAATATATTGTGAACTTTGTGTTCGAAATTATTTAAAAGCAAAATTTTCAAATTGGACATCTGGAAATGTTATTATTGATAATTTAATACAAGAATGTCAAATTAAAACAATTAACCCAAGTCTAATACCAGAATGGATTCCATATAATAATCTACAAAATATTAAATACCTAACAAAAGGTGGATTTTCAGAAATTTATACAGCAATCTGGAATAATGGAGGATATGAAGAATGGGATTCTAAAGAACAACAATTAAAAAGATTTGGAAGGCATGCTGTAATACTTAAAAGATTAGAAGATGTTGAAAATGCAAACCAAAGTTGGATTGAGGAGGTTTGTAATTTAAATATTAAAAAAAGTTAACAAGAAATTTTGTTTCAAATTTTTTAATGGTTCATTTTATTATAGGCTAAATCACATTTAAATATAAGCAATAAATGGGGTAGTATTGTCCAATGTTATGGATTAACCCAAAATCCATCAAATGGAGATTATATGCTTATAATGAATAAATATGACATAGATTTAAGAAAATATTTACAACAAAATCATAATCAACTTACATGGAAAGAAAGAATTCAAATTATTACTGATATAACTACTGCACTTAGAAGGATTCATTATGAAAATGCAACTCATAGAGATTTGCATTCTGGAAATATATTATCTAAGGTTCGATTTCACATTAGTGACCTTGGATTTTGTGGACCTGCAGATAAACCATTAAAAAGTATATATGGAAATCTTCCTTATATAGCACCTGAGGTTATTATTGGAAAAGAACAGACTTTTAAATCTGATATTTATAGTATTGCAATGCTTATGTGGNAGAACAGACTTTTAAATCTGATATTTATAGTATTGCAATGCTTATGTGGGAAGTTTCATCAGGACAACCACCATTTATTAATTATGAACATGATTACGATCTTGCAATGAATATTGTTAATGGTATAAGACCAAAAATTGTACCGGGAACTCCTTTAGAATATAAAAATTTAATGAAACAATGTTGGAATGCTGATCCATCAAAAAGACCTGATAGTTATACACTTCAGAGTAAAATGAGAGATATTAATTTATTTTATCAAACCAGTAAATCAAGTGAATTATCTCAGCTAGAAGAAAATAATAATTTTGAAATGGAAAATCGTACTAGCAGTAGCAAACTATTTACAAGTAAACTTCATCAATTTGATAATCTTCCTGAACCAAGAAATGCAACAGAAGGTATTTATTGATTTATTAATATTTTTGTTAATTGCTAGAGTGTATTAATATATTTAATTAATAGTGTTTATTTTTTTATTTAAATAATAATAGAAGAACAAGAAGGTATAAATTAGACAAAATATAAAATATATAATTTTTAATCTATAAAAATTAATGATGATATGGTTAATTTTTTTATAGCATTTCATAGTAACAAATCATATGATTTTCATATTCCTAATAATAGTAAGTGCAATTACATTTAAATATTATGTAACAAGCCATTATTTATAGATTATTTTGCTTTTTTTAGTTGATGATTTTAATAAATCAAGTAGTAAGAAAAATAGTACTTCAAAAATCAGTACCATATTTAAAGGTAATTAAATATTTTATTTTGAAATAAGCAAATGAATGAATAACTTATATTCAAGATTATTTAGTTGGCAGCAAAAAGTTATCCAATATATTTAAAAGAAGCTCAAAAAATGGCAAGTAAAGTAATTAAGAGTATGTCAATTTTATTATAATTTTTTAATATAAATATGATATAATTTTTTTTAGTTATTCAAAGTAATTATAAGATTGAAACAATGCAACAGCAAACAATGAATCATCATATTAAAGATAATGGTATGTAAACAATTCTTATAATAATTATTTTATAGTATTTTTTTTTTCATTGATTTTTTAATTTAATACATTAATATATATTTGATAGACGAAGATGAGATGTATAGCAATCCAAATCTTCATCCAGAAGAACAAGATGAATTGGAACTTCCTGACAGTAAGAATTTGTTTTTAAATATTAAATTTTATTAATAAATTACAAAATTTAACGTTTTTTTATCATAGATATTTAGGTACAGTCTGTCACATATTATATGAAATAAACAACATTATTATATCTGATTTTTTTTTCTTATCATAAATTATTTAACACTATAACTTAACGAATTATTCTTTTCAAGTTTCTTGATTTTAATTTGAATTATTTATTATTATTATTATTTTATTATTATATTATAAATATCATGTTATTATAATGTATTGTATTTTTATAAATAAAATAAATTAAGCATATTTTAACATTTATATTTTATTAATATTTTTTACATGGCAATAAAAATTATAAAATGGCGAAAAAAAGTTTGAAAGTTTGAAAAAGTTATTAAATTATTATACTCCGTACAATTTAGGATATATTATTTAGTAAAAAAAATAAATAAATAACGATAACCATTAAATAGCTGCTCGTTTGAGAAATTCAAATCTGTATATGTACTGTACGATAGACTAATTGAAGACCTGTTTTTACTAATAGTCTAAAAATAAACAACTTGCATATATTCAGAACATGTAGTTTATGAAGGCGCAGCATATTTTAAGTTTCAAATTTGATTTTTATGAAGTTATTTAGTTTAAAAAAATTAAAAAAAATTGGAAATTCCAACAAAAATAGAAAACGGAAAATTTGCATAGTTTTGCTATTTTTTGACGTTATTAAAACATAAATAAAGAGTTTCTGTTTTTTTTTAATTGACTTTTTTAAAGAATATAATAGCAGATATCCAAAAGTATATATTAGAAATTTTAAGACATCTAGGCATCCAGCTGATAATTTTATGAGACAAAAAAAGTAGCAAATTTATGAAGAAAGAAATATTGCTAAAATTTAGCAAATTGAAGTATTTCGCTCATAGTAATTTCAAGATTTGTAATATTGATATCTAATGCTTTGTACAATAAAAATTTAAACTCATAGTTTTTATAGGCAAAAATTTCAAGTGATTTTGTTAAAAATTGATAGACTTATCTATATATAGGGGAAATATTTCAATTTTTCTACATTTCTAGACGGATTTGTAAGATTTTGAATTTATAAGAATTACATTAAATACTTGGATAAAAAAGATCTAACCTCATACTAGTAGTACTTTCTATAAAATTTTTAAGTTAACCGGGTAAGACTGACAGACTTGCCTATGTGGAAAATTAAGCGGAAAACAAGCTTTTATATGTTTTACGATTTTTTATGTTTCTAGGCGGATTTGTAAGATTTAGAATTTTATAGAAAATACATTAAATATTTGTTTAAACTCAAAGAATGTACAGTAAGAATTTTATGCGATTTGGTTACAAATTGATGAACTTTTATCGGGAATTTATATTCCAATAGCTGGTCCAATTTAATACCTGTCCTCCTCCATGATATTTCTCGATATTACATGTTTTATACCTGTTTTATCCGAGATGTAATAAAAAATTCACTGGTACGTGCGAAAACAATTATCCAAACATTTGCTGGCGTACAGATCACGTGACACACATATATAAGGAGACGAGTCGCCGATCTCATTATCCCTGTTACATTGGTCACAGGACAAATTCATCTCCTCTGATTTTATTAATTTGATGGTAAATTATTGTATGAATCAGAAATTGCGCTATTAAGTATTAAATTATGCTCATCAATACACGACTTAAAATATAATATTCGGCATTAATATTGTAAAACTATCTTTAGTAATACTATCATTATCATCATAAGATCTCCCCAAGAATTTCTTTACTATTTTCACTTTAACGGTTCGAGAATGATAATTACAAAATTGATGAAAATTTATTTTCATGTGTAAGTCCATCACGCGTTCCACGAAATAATAATTTGAATTCGTATGGAGAAATCATCGTCCGTGATATTTAATCTATTGAGATTAATTCAACATATTGAAATGTAATAATCATACTTTTAAATTTTTTCTTAGATGGACTATAATCACTATTAAAAAAAAATATTTTAATAGATTTATATAATTCCTCGGGTAGAATATCTTTATAAGGAAATACATTATTTAAAAATTCTTTTGAAGTTAAAGAAATGTATTATTTTTATTAAAATTTTCAATTTAAGTTATTCTTTAAAGTTATGAAATCATCCTTTGGATAACTAGTTTAATTTAAGAAAAAATTTTTTTTTCTTCAGAACTAAATACTTGCCCGTTTCTGTCATTTCGTTCATAATCACTTGTAAGATGTACTTCACGATGTTCAGTAGTCTCAACATTTAGGATCGGTAATTTGGTCTGGTTTATGGTTAATATTAATTTTTACTGAATATTAAATAGTTATTGGGTGGGGATATCGGTCTTCAACCGATATCTCTATTCCCCCATTTAATAACTGAGTTATAGTTCGGTCATTAGGAATACTGCTGCGGTGATCAATAGGAATTTATGCTACTAATACTGATTTCAATATTGGATGTCTCATAAAAATATCGGTCAGTAAAATCCAGAATATTCCTAACCGACTGAACAATGAAATTTTTGTTTAAAATATTGAATTAAGCTAATTTTAGCAGATAGCCTTAGTCAAGTGATTTATTTATTTTTTTGTATGAGAAATAACTAGTAGTCAATTAATAATTGAATAAAATTTTTATTTCAAATAATTCAATAAATGTATATGATATAAATTATTACTATAAAAAAATAATTCTATTAACCCCTTGTCGAAGAGATTTTGACTTCGAATACATCAGGAACCTTAACTGTTAAAAAAAAAAAAA